GTGGGGGGCTGGGGAGGTTGTGAAACCCCTGGGGCGAGAGTGGGGCCACATTTTCTTCTTGGGCCCCAGCAGACGTGGAGCCAACTCTGTTCTTATAGAAATGTTACGCTATTTTTCCGATAAAGATAATAAACTGCTTGTCATAAGCTAGGTTTCCCTTGGTTTCTGTTTTTCTTCTCTAATCCAATCACCCCAACTGACACAAATTTAAGCAAATAGCTTCATTTCAGGTCACAGGACTTCGTCCTGCAATCAAGGATTTGAATGAAATTCCTGGCAAAATATAGTAATTAGAAGCACAATGAAAGCAGCTTCAAAATGTCCCAGCCTCCCACAGCACTAAAAGGCAGTCTGGTTAATTTCCAAATTATATTTGGGCTTAACATGCAAAGGATTCTTTTTCGTCCGGGCAGAAAAAACAGGCCTGAAGATCATTACAATAACCACACAAGACTAGGAATGTAATTATAAAATAAACCATACCCTAGCAGGCAAATCATTTTAATGTGTTTTGAGAACTGAATAATCTGTACGGAATTTAAAACAAAGAAAAAAAAAACCAACGTGCAGAAAATTAATTAAAAAGAGATAAGACACAGAAAACCTTCGCATGTCATAAAATTACAAATACAAAAGCAACAGATTAAAACACACATACACACAATTACAGATTTTGGTAACATTAGTAGCCAGAACATACCCAACAAATTGCTTAATCGTCAAATATCTTACTAATTTCGAAAGGGGGGGGCGGCGGGGGCTGGTGGTAATGACTGACTTCAGTTGACCCCAGGATTTGAGTCTTCCTTCCATAGCAAGCAAACGTAAGAAGACGGCATCAGGTCCCTATGAGAAGCGGAGCTCCTTTTCTCAAAGAGAACGGACACAAAGGTTGATGCCCTCTGCCCCATTCCACCACATTCGTACACTCCTTTACCTCTTTTAACAAGGCAACGGAAAGACACAATTTCTTGAGACCCCAACACACCCCCAGAAGCCGTAAATTCTATTCCTATTCAAACAGAGCAGAATACACCTCCAAGCTGAGGGCAGCCGTTCCATCAGGTGCAGGATGGTTCACTGTTACAGAGTTGGCGTTGAAAATGTCTTTAAGAGGGGTGGACAGGAGCCGGTGGGGACCCGGGCAAGCCCGGGGTTGAGCAATGACCCGTATGAGAAAGGCGACACGTGGGTCAGTCCTCAGGGATGGTTTCACCTCTGTGCACACCGCTGAGGTAGGAGCCTCGGGAGAAACAAAGAGGACCTTAGGGGAATGAGAGTGCCTTCTTGGCAAATCGGTGCCCTCTTGCTCACTTGGGGGCCTGAGGCGGTCACAGTCATAGGCCGGGCGGGGCCTGGCAGGGGAGACACGTGACCTTACAAAATTCAAGAGTGGTATCTGAGCACAGCCACAGAGGAGAGGAAGATCCAAGACAAAGCCACTGGAGGTGGGCAAGGCCCCGGCGCGGACCCAGGGCACCCGCGGTTTAGTGCAAGCTCAAGGGGCTGGAGGCAGGGCGGGGGGACAGGAAGTGGAAAACCCCGGCAACAACCTACAAAACGGTTATTAGCAAATGGTATCAAAAAGTATCAAAACATTTCAAAAAACTTTAAAAACTGCCAGGCTTGGCAGACGCAGGGCAGGATCCCCGAGGGCCAGTGGAGCTGGCCTACACTCCAGAGGTTTCCTCTGGAGGCCAGGACACGGTCCCCTCCCCTCCCCCTCTGAAGATGCCAAGGCTGGAACTGCCCGAGACTCCGGGGAGGCTCCGAGAGACAGAAGGCCCTTGAACTTCTCCTCCGGCGGGTGCTGGGCTAAGCCACGCGCCAAGGCCGAGGCCGAGCAGAGTAAAGGGGAAGCTGGTAAGTGTATCCGGGGTGGGGGTGGAGGCCTCCCGCTTCCCACACTGCTGCTAAGCGCTGGAAGGTCCCCTGGCTGAGGGGCCAGCTATGTTGAACCTCAGGTTAACTCTCCCGAGCTCACAGAGTGGGACCCTGGAGCTCAGGGGAGGGACGGGAACCCCACTCACTTTGGCATTTGGGTCTCCACCCAAAACTGAACACCCCTACGGCTGGCCCCTGGGCTTTCTACTAAGTCACTGGGAGGCCCCCTTTTTGGTGATTGTGTTTCAGAACACAATCACACACCCAGGTGTTCTGCTCAGATCAAGATCTGAAAGTCCTACCCTGCAGTCTTTCTAAAACGCTAAAATGTGACCATTTAACTAAAACGTTAAAAATCCCGAAGGAGCCAGAGCCGGAAGTACACGCAAGTCACTAACACAACCTCTATTTAAGCCGTAGGAAGACCACGGGCAGGAACCAGGAACTCTCCCGCCCTCTTTTCCCCTCCCTTCTAGAATGACATCTTCATCTTAGGCAAACAGGGTTCCAGATTGGGTAAGGACCAAACAAACAGCTGATGTGAAGTGGAAACTCCAGTTCTTTAAAAGTGAGAAACCCCCCCAAAAAAACCTGTAGGAAAGCCCACTATGCTTATCTTGAAAACTCAAAAGAAACGATTCCGGCCTTCTCAAAAGTCCTCAAAGGCAGCAGACGGTCCGCTGCATTTCAAGAGGACGGTCTACGAGAACCCGACCTCTGGCATGGGTGGTTCAGTGGTAGAATTCTTGCCTGCCGACCTCTGTCACCAGGGTTGGAAACCGTGTCACTGATTCTGCTGCTCAAACGGCCACCTGCTGGGCTGCAGCCCCGAGCTGACTGCCCATCTGGGTTACGTAGCATTGTCCCCCATTCTCTGCTGGACAGCACCGCAGGGCAGCTGCCACCTTAACAACACGGGACGCCAGCGACCTGTCATGGCTCCCACCACCGAGCAGGCCAGTGTCTGCGCAACTGCTGCCTCCTGGTCGTGAGGCTCCTTTCCACGGACACCGATAGGCTCGACAACATTCCTTAGCACAGGGAAACCACCACCAATCATGAGAAGCCAGTCCCCGGGAAGAAGCTCCTCAACCTTAACAATACTGGGGTCTAAACCGTGCCCATGACAAACCGCCAGGGCGGCAAGAGTGACAGCACGAAGGAGGAGATGCGAGACATTGTACGGAGTCCACAAGGCACAAGAGAATCTGAATAGTGACCAGCACTGCACCCTTGTCCGGGGACACGTCATGGTAGTCAGAAATAAAAGAGCCGGCTTGAGCTAAAAATGGGCGGCTCTCCTCTTCCCAAGGTCAAAGCCATCCTGCTCCCCCAAAGCACACATGGAATCTACATGCTGTTCCCCACCTGACCCTGGACTCTGGTTAAACCACCACCTCTTTGTTCATGACTGAGAACAGACCACGGGTTCCATGCCTTCTGTAGGGTCCTCTACTAGCAACATTTTTCCTGGAATAGGAAGAGGGTAAGCTATCCAAAATTGGCAGAAGTTCTGCAAAACATGTTTGTGGAGGGCTGGACAAGGCATGAGACAAAAAAGGCTTTCGGGCTCAATGAAGTTTGGCAATGCTGGATTGATGGCAGGTTAACAGTTAACGTGGGACTTCTCAGAGCCTTTAATTCACTGAAGTATTGTGGAGCTCCAAGAAGACTGTACAGTTTGTTTTTGGTTTGATTGTTTGTATGCCTTGCAGAACCTCTCAACAGTCTGTAAGCCTCTGGGGACTTCCATGTGCACAGAGCTAGCTAAGTCAGCAGACCGCTCACCCCACTAACGACAGAGGGGACAGGTTTAGGTACTGAAGATTTCAGTGCCCAAGCCCCTCAAAATCACAGTAATCCTTCAAGGGGAAGGAAAGCAATGACAGTAAAGAGATCATTTTTTTTAAAGTAACTATGTTAATGGAGATTCAGAGTCTAGTACCAAGGTTAACAATAAATCTCGAGGTGTTCTCATCTCTGCAGTGAGATCTTTGCCAAGGCATGGATCGTGAACGCCTCCCTCGGCAAGTGCACTTCTCCTCCCCCATCCTTGTGCCCACAGGAGCTGGGGTGGGAGTCCCCAGCTCTCCTCCAAGGGCACACCCTGGTAGTGAGACCTGCAGGAGTCAGCGCGGGGTGGTCACACGTCCCAGGAGGTGCTCAACGCACATTAACAGCTTATATGGACTGAAGGAGCTGAGCCCCGGGGGGCAGTGATTGTGACCACCGCGCAATGAATGAGGGAACAGCTAAGACTTGTTACAGAATCTGCCCAGCAGCACAAAAAGATAGCGGTGGACGGCTGAGTTTTGGGGATGGGGCGGGTACCTGACATCCTCCTTCAGGGGGAAAGGTGTGCTCAGCTCACTCCTGGAGGGGCTGTCGAGGGCTTCCTGGAGCCAAGCCAGAGAAAACAACAGCAAATTCTAGGATGGCCACTTTTTCTTTCCCGAGAAATGAACAGATTTGCGGGGCTCAGTAATGTAACTTAAGAAGTGGGTTCTGGGGGGGAAAAAAGCACAAATTACAAAAAAATGTAAGAGTTTCATGCCTTTTTTTTTTTTTTTTTTTTTTTTTCCAGTTTCTTGATTACCTAGACCCTTTTAGAATTCAGGAAGATTACCTATCAGGGGGATGGGACTACTCAGAAATAAGAGTCACCAGCTCAGGAAATCCTGGCAGGAACATCTCTCCGGTGAGAAGTCCCAGGTCCTGCCCTGTTGGGGTCTCTGAGTCCCCACTCATTAACAAGAACACATTTGACATTGCCCGCGACCTGGTTATAGCTTCTGGGCACCCCCTGTACCCCTACTGCTGGTAGTTTTAGGATGGATAATCCTGAGGCAGGGCCCAGGAATCCGTCTAACAGTTCAGCCAGGCTGAGGGAGGCGTGGACTGGGGGTTCCGAACTGGCCCCACCACAGCCCCCAGTGTCATGGGCAAAGATTTCACGTCACCCCTGCCCCAGGTACCCTCGGGGGGATGGGGAGGGGGCCCCCTCGGGGAGACTGCACATGAGGGAAGAACGCCTACACAGAGGTGAGGGGCTATTTCATGCCTGGGCCCAGGGTTAAGCAGTCAAGCAAGATAATATGTAAAATTATAGAGAATATTTAATCGGTTACTGTGATACCATAGAAATACCAAGAATCATAAAAGTAAAAAAAAAAAAAAGCTGCTAAGAAGTACATCATGGTTCCAGGACACTACGAAGTCGTTGCTGGTCTGGACGCTCCGGCGGGGCTGGTTGGGGGTTGGGGGCGGGTCACTGGCCCCGGTCCTGGTACCTCTTGCCCTTCCCCTTCTTCTTCTTGTCCTCCAGCCGCGGCTTAAGGGCGCATACGCAGGCCGACACGCCGGCGATGGCCTTGGGCAGGTCAGGGCCCTTGCCCCACTTGTCCTTCTCGCGGTCGTACACCTGCACGGTCTTGGAGAAGGCTGTGCTCTCCCAGCTGTAGCCGCCCAGGATGTAGATGCGGCCCTCCCACACGGCCACCCCCGACTCGCTGTTGGCCTGCAGCAGGGGTGCCACGCGGGTCCACTGGTTGCACTGCGGGCTGTAGGCCTCGACGCCCAGCACGTCGAAGCGCTCCATGGACTCGACGCTGTCGTCGCTGCCGCCGATGGAGTAGATGGTGTCGCCCAGGCTGCACATGCTGTGCCAGCCGCGCGCCGTGGTCATGGGCCGCCGCTCCTCCCACACGTCCGTCCGGTGGTCGTAACACAGCAGGTTCTTGCGGTACGGGCCGATCTGGTAGTCGTGGCCCCCAGAGATGTACACAAAGTCCTTGTAGATGGTGCCTGCGTGGCCATAGGTGAACCTGTGGAGGGACGGGGCAGGGGGGTGGGCAGAGACAGAGGGGGCTCAGCGCTGCACCCGGGCTGGGCCTCCCGGCTCCAGGCCTGCGCTCTTCTCCTCTGCAAAAGTGGGACGACCTGCTCTCTGGGGAAGAGGGGGGCAGTGGGGACCTGAGGGGACCACGCAGGGAGCAGGCAGCCCGTGCCCGCCTCACAGATGACAGCTGTCACTAGCAAGGTGGGGCCAAGCCGGGTGGGGAAACAGGCGTGGGGCTCGGCACCCAGGCCGCCTGGGCTCTGCCTCACGCTCCGCTTCCCCCAGGGCAGGAGTGGGGAGAATTACAAGGCTGCTCCTTCCGGAAAACCACGAGGCTGTGTGATCGAGGCACACACAGGCCCCTGATCAAATGGGAACCAAAGTACAATTCAACTCTGACATTCCGGGAACGACTAGAGCGACAGCCAAACACCCAAGGGGCTCGCGGTAAGGGTAGGACGGACGGGCAGAGCACAAGAGATTCTCTGTGTGACATGTGTCCCCATACTTCTGTCCCGAGCCACAGAATGTACAACACAAACTGGACCGTGAGCCCTCACTCGGGGCAGCCCCCCCAAGTAATGTAGCCCCTCAGGGCTGTAGCAAATGTAGCTGGCTACTTCAGGATGTCACCAATGGGGGGAGTACGCTCCAAGGGGAGGGTCGATGGGAACAATCTGTACCTTCTGTTCAATTTTCGATTTTCTCAAAAAAATGCAGCTCAGGTAAAAACCAAAAAGTAAAGAACAAAACCTAAGTGCAAACACATGTGATAGGAGAAGGGGAGGAGACTGAGGAGAGCAGCTGCGTGGAGGCAGGGGGCTGCGGGAGGGGAGCGGCTGGGAGGGCAGCCCCAGGCAGCTCTCGGGATGGGCTGTGGGTTCATGGAGGTCCCGTTACACGCACACACCAATGATCATGGCATCGCGGGCTACATTTCCTCCAACCTCGTACAGCTCAGGCCCGTTTAGAAAGAAAAAAACCAAGTGGTTGTAGCGTTTAGGTACATAAGTCACACCAGCCGGCCCAGAGAAAGGGACAGCAGCAGACACTCTTAACCACTACAGTGAAGCCTCACTTCTCCATCTGTGAAATGGGGTGATAAAAAACAGTACCTAAACCTAGGGAGGCCAGAAGTTTTGGTCTGCCTACAACACGGTTGGTATTCACACTCTTAACCTTCCCTGCTCACTACCACCTGGGTTTGGATGACAAATTACGTGGGCGATCGCGTGCCCTTCTAGCTCCCGGGGACCCGGGCAAGGCGGCTGCCTGTGACCCACAGCAAGTCTGTTCACAGAGCGAGCCTGCAGGTTCAGTTACAAGGAGCAGCTAAGACCAGCGCAAGCACCCTCTGCTGGATCCGTGATGAGGACCAGCGCTGATCCGTGCAGACCTCGGAGCAGGCAACAGAGAAGGAGCCCCAAGCCCCAGGGCACTCCCCGATGCCGGTGCCATGTGTAGGGGGTTCTCGCCCTGATAGCCCTGTGGGGCAGGTGTGAACATGCCCGCTGTACAGATGAAGCAGGAAAGACCCAGGTGAGGACACTTACTCGTGTCACACATCTGTCACCTCTCAGAACCCAAGCCCACACTTGGGGACGTTCCTCGGGAAAGCCCTCACTATCTGAACTTGATACCCTCTCCCCGAAACTCCAGAAGCGAACAGACTCAGACACGGAGGGAGAACCGCCTGATCAGCAGAGCTGACCCCTGCACCCGGATGGTCAGAAACCAGAGCCCTGACTGGTCACCGACATGCCCTCTGTCCCCACGTTCTGCTCACGGTTATTTACAAGCCCGGAGATTTTTTTCTGGAGTCAGAGATCAAAATATCTAGAAAACGAGGTGGACCAAGTCATCCCCATTTGAGGAGACCACCACAGAGCCCGCCATCACCTGGGCAAGCCAGCCACGTAGGACCAGGAGTCGGTCTTGGGGCTGTAAGTCTCCACTGAAGAAAGAGCTCCATTCTCATTCCGGCCACCGACGGCCACCAGCATGTCTTCGATGGAGGCCAGGTAGAAATCCACGCGGCGCTGGTTCATGGAGGCCACCTGCGGAGGGGGGACACCTGTACCTTCCCTTGCCCGGACACGGATGACATCAACAGTGAGCACTGAGTTCCCATATGTTCTATGGAACACACAGCCCAGGAGGGTCAAGCGGTGGCCAAGTGTGTTTGGGAGAAGGAAGATGAACTTGAAGCCCGGGGATGCTCTTGAGAGGGACTTCTCAGAGCTCCCAGGAACCCGGAGGCACTGCAAGTCCCCAAGGAGGGGCTGGAGAACACAGTTCCCCTAACTCGTCTGGCCACATGGCTGACCTCGTGGACTTGAGTTCCATGGAACACCTAGTTTCATCTTTCCTTTTACTCTTCCCCACATCAGATACTTTTCAAATTAATGCTGAGTGCTAGCATGTTAACAGCAATCAATGGGAAACTATAAAGCAGAAGACCCGATTTTTTTTTTTTTTTTTTTAAATAACGCAGGCACAACACAGAAATGAACACAGTCCCGGAGGAGATCATGCCTTCAGGCTGTCCCCGCTACAAAGCTTCTAAGCGCGGGCTCCAGAGCTGGGAGCCACTTTCTAGCTTGGGAAGGGGTGGGTTTCAGATTTTTTTTTTTTTTTTTTTGAGAATAAAACAGAAAGGTCATCGGAGTCCATTCTGAGTTTTGTGCCCAGAAAACAAACAAAACAAAACAAAACAAAAAACCCACCAAGTTAAATAAAAACACTGAGGTGTGGGTAGAAAGACAGACCAACTTTCTAGGGTGGTGGCCTGCGGCGGTGTTTGGGAGAGAAGGGCCCACCTCCCCGTGCCAGGTGCTTGCCAACCGCCCTGAGCGCCAGCCAGCCTCAGACCTTAGAAGGACAATGCCCTCCCACCCCATCTCCAGAGGCAGAAGCAGAAATCCACAGGGCAAGGAAGGACCAGTCTGAAATCCACAGCTCTGACTTAGCAAGCCAGGGGGTGAACTCAGGTCTGCGGCCAACGCCCACACGTCCCAGATGTGTCACACCTGCCGGCAGGCATGAACCCTGGTGGCCGCCCTCAAGGAGCTCCAAACCCTTCCCAAGGAAGGGAGCTCCAGGGAGACTCTGAGGCAGGGGAATGGGGTCTGAACTCCGGGTCAAACCTCTAGACTGGCACTGCCTGGAACGGCGGCCGCTAGCCTCGTGTGGCCATTTCCTCTTGGACATAAATCAGTTAAAAGGAAATAAACAGAGAAGTCGGTGTTTCAGTCCCACTGGCCACATTCTGAGTGCTCGATCGCCACATGTGGCTGGGCGCTAGGTTATCGGCTGGCATGGGCTGGGAGAGCTTCTGCAGCCCCAGAACATTGTACCAAGCAAGCTCTGCTCCAGATGCTGACCGAGCCTGTAAACAGCGGCCGACCGGCGCTCGTGAGCCCCGTGCAGGGTGCAGGCGTGGGGAAGCACGGGAACCACAGGTGCTTGTGCCTTGATCGTCAGGCCCTGTTCCCAAGCAGGACGGTGGCCCAGGCCTGGGGTGGTGGTAAGGGGAGGGGAGGGGACGGGGGGGGGGG